GACATTTGAGGAGGCAAGGAACTGAATCTCTTGTCCCGCATGAACTTTAAAACCTGTTGTGACTAAAACGCCCATATCAGTTTATATTTATTACTGGCCACCTCTTTGATTCTCCACGTGCAATTTCGACCACCTTGTCCCGTTGAATCAGTCAAGTGGGCATCCTCACTCGTGACTTTGGTCCTCTTCGTGTAAAATTTTTATCCTCCCCTTTTCCTTTTAATATATGTTTTTTAAAAATGGATTGATTTTACTAATAGAAAATTGTCAAATTAACTGTCTAGTATCATATTTAAGGTATTAAATATTATCATAAATAGCATTTTCAATATTACATTTTAAAGGGTTTAATTAAGAAATGTCTAAAATGATAATTTTCCTTGTGGTTTTGGGGAATTTAAAGTCCAAGTGGGAAAGGGATGACCGTTAATCAAACCTGTCGGAAAATAACAAAAGTTGAATGAAAAATGCGCAAGGTTGGACTGCTGACGAGTCAAAATAATATTAATGTTGCCTTAAATTTGGGCCAAAAATTAACCCACCGATCTGCCTGTGATTAACTGCTGCTAGTAGTACAGATTCTGAAGTAAAGCTCTGTCTAGTCAAGCCTTTCTAGTCAACACGCAAAAAATTAGAGCGAAATTTACTTTTGTTTTACCACCAACACCCCACCCGGCCCAACTTTTCACGTTTGGGACCCACTTTGTTATAGAGATGATATCTCAGCCGTTAGATCGAAATCTTGGCGAAAAAGCAATAGAAAAGATTAACCACATGGGAAAACATGATTCACAGTCCCCAAATAGGCAAGATCAACGGCTGTGATTGGTTAGAGGATCTAATCCTCGGGATCTTCATTTAACTTTAAGCTCACGTGCATGGTATCCACCGTAGGCAGTATCCACATCATATCCTATGGACCTTGGGATCTAACATTAGATGCCATTGTTCCCCATGCAGTAAAAAAAAAAATGATAGAAGAAAATAGAAATCCCCGTGCATATTCACCTAAGGTGCACATTAGCAAAGCAATACTTTCAACATCTAACATGTGCCCAGCAGATACGTAGGCAAAACACTGTTGAGTCCTTTCCCATGCAGATACACGATTTCCAAGAAAAAATGGAAAAAGGAGAATAAAATAATTTATTTTTTACCAAAATTGTTTTTAATAAATAAAATAACTTTGATTGCAGGTAAAAATTAATTAATTAATTATTTCATGCGCGTGAAAAAAGTGCGGCCCATAGCAAGCGGTGACGCCGTTCTCGACGGACGTTAAGAAGGGAGCTTTGAGACTCGAGTTTGAGCTTTCCACCGAATACGCTTTAACGGGTATTGATCATTTTGACCCCATGATTAACGGCGTTAACATCGGGGTGTAAATGTAAAGCCGATGAGGCAAGCAGCCATGCATGCCCATAAATTGCGCTGGTAATTTTTTTTTATTTGGTTTATTTTCTTGGCTGTTGAATTGGAATGGGAAAGTTTGTGTATGAATTTATTGTCCGGCGAAATGTAGAAATTTGGTAGGGTGAGGAATGGGGCAACGGCTAGTAGGTGCTGACGTGGAAGGGGACAGGATGTCACGTCAGCTCAGAGAAAAGCCAGTAAGTGTGGAGTACTAGGAGGACTTCAGGGAAACGATCTCTCCGTTGTTAAAAAATAATGAATATATACGTTACTCATTCACATACCTGACATATATTTTTAAATAAATTTAAAATTAAAAATTGCCTATATTATTTTTTACTAATTAATTTTTATTTATATTTTTACACATTTTAAAATCATTAAAATTTTAATTATATATTCTGACAATTACTTTAAAATTAAATAACAGACATCTCCGTTACTAAAAAATTAACAAGAATGTTTAATATCATATTCATGAAAGTGGAGGAATACCCCAACATTTATAACTTAAATAGCAACATAATCAGAAAAAATCATCTTAAATTGAAATCATATACTACTACAAACTAGTTTTTAAAGAAAATAAACTTATTAAATCTTATAGTCATAGGAGTATATAGAAATAAAACACAGTCCCTGTCACTGAAAAAGAAATATGGTCTTTGTTCTAATGGTAAAAATTGTATATACATTAATTTAAGAGTTTTAACCTCCAATTTTAAAACTGATATTAGACAACAATTATTATTCAAAATTGTATTGGAGAACCTTCACAAAATAATCATTCTTTATCTTTTATTTGTTTATATATATGTTGTACTATTGCGTCTACTCTGACGCAATGTCAGACAGAAAAATACAAAATAAATTAGTGATTTCTGCTGTTTTTAACAGTGAATAAGATCTTTTCCTTAACAAGTACTTAACAAAACTTGTAAGGATTGGATAGTGTTAAGAGTCAAATAAAGCTACAAATAGGGTTCAGCACTGAGCACCCCAACCCCACAAGATAAAAGGGTTGCATTTGTGATTTCAGTTAGTAGTTAAACATTAAATCATAAATCCCGCAAAGCACTAAAAAGTGGAGACCCAAGCCAGCGTCCTACTTCTATAGACTTTTCGAAAATTCAACAACCCTAAATTTGAAAGCTTTTTATTTCCCCGTTCTGGCCTTTAATTATTGCTGCTCAAGTTTTATTAGCGCATAAAAATCAGCTAAGCACTCGATTAGTGTTGGAAATCGTGTGTCGTTGGTTAAGAAACGGTCCAGTGCCAGCAGTACAAGTTAAATGCAGTCACGTTTTGTTATTTGCCCACAACAGCGAAAAGAAACAAATGTTCGACCGTTGATTTGATTGGGAAGACGCGTCTCTTCGCCGATTTGATGCCGTTCATGTTTTCCCAAGTGGCACACCGAAATTAAGGAAAAAACGCTAGGGGCCCCACGCGATTCTCGTTCGGATGATGGGGATAGGCAGCGCCACTTCTCCTTTTGTTTTTTTTATTCCATAAATGCCCTCACCTGATCCTCTCGATTCAGCAAGCAAGGGCGCTCGAAGTCACGGCAGATGGCAAATCAGTAAATGTGTGGGCCATTGGAGGGCGCTTTAGTAATCACGTGAAACGGGGCGGTTTCTTCCCCGTTATAATTTTTTTAGTTTAGATTTATTTTTCTTTTTTTGTTAATTGTATTTAAATATTAAAAGGAGAACCTCTTTTTGCCCCAAAAAGTCTTAATAATCATTATTTTTAACCCTAATGATTTACACACTTTCTTTGGGCATTGCCCACTGTTGTCTTGGTGGACCTTTTTTTTATTCTTTGCTTTTTTTTAATTAGTATTATTATAAAAAAAATTTGGTCACTTTATCCCTCTTTCAAGACTTCAAACTTCAAAGTTTTTAATTTTCAAGCTTATGGATGACTTTTATTTGGAAGCCTTGGAGGAGGGATAAAGTGACCCCAAATTATTGATTTAAGAAGTTGATTCTTACTAATGCTTTAAAGCAAAAAAAACCAAAAAATTGAATCAGATTCCATCTTTAATGTAAACATTTCTTAGTAAGAATAAAGTTAATTATAATTAATAAATAAAATAAAAAATATCATTCAATTAATGAAGATACGTGTCTTCAACCCATGAGCTGAAAAAGTAGACTTGCAATAATGCATTTGTACTATATGCTTCTCAGTACTAACTATTAGCCATCGACCCTCTTTCCTCCGGAATTTATATGAATAAATGAAAATCTACCATTGCTAAGTTTTATCTAATTCTTTCATTATTATTATTTTTAATAACTTTGCACCAATACGAAGTTCAATAATTATGATATTTATTTATTATTTATTTTTGTTTAAAGTTGAATTTTGTCGATGTTAAGATAATTATAAAAATTTAGTTAGTTAGATAAATTACAATACTGTATTCATCTTTAACTAGCTAACAATATTATAATCTAACTAGCTAACCAACTAACTAACCGATAGTCTTGTATTATATCTATATCACTAAATTAATTCAATTTTCTTAATAAAATATAGCAATTTATGTGAGCAAAATTATTTTCTTTTCTGGTGCATATGAAAATCGATTTGGCTTTAGAGTGTACAAAGAGAATCAAATACCTGTGAAATTTAATCACTAAAGTGTCTCGTTGGGTATTATGCAACGTACACATTAATTCAATGTCTTTTGATATTTAAGGGCATACCAGAAATAAATTGAACATCCATACTCCATTCCATGAAGTAAATTTTCATGGAATTGATTAAAATTTTGAGACTCACAATTCAAAAGATAAATGCTATAAATGTGTGAATTCAAATGCATCACAAAAACCTTATGCGAACAAAATATATGGAAATAAATAAGATTCAATTTATTTATTCCTTATCTAAAGCAAAGGAGAAGAAAATCAGTGTCTAATGTAAGATTTTTTATCACACAATTTTAGCAAATAATTAAATATAGCAATAGAATTAATCACAATCATAAAACGCTTATCTTTTTGAATTTGTATCAATGGATTGAAACGAAAAATCGAAATCAATCTTTATTTCATCCTTCATTTTCAAAAGCATGCAAGTGGAAATATTTTTGTACACCATTAAAAATTTAAAATCAGTCTTTGTGATGGTAGAAAGAGATTTTGAATGGACAATTAGAATGGGAAAGAAAGAGAAACACCAAAAAAGTTTAAAGCAAAATTAAAGAAACTAATATTAAATTGTTTATGTACATATTTATAACTTAATTAATTTGTTTTTTTGGTAGTAAAGGTTCATGCCGACTGACTATGCTCTGACTTCTTCAGTGTATGATTCCTCAAACCTCCTTTCACAAGACCAAAAAAATAATAATATTAATTTTTCTAATTAAAACATTAAGTAATTTAAAAGAAAAAAAGTCTATAAATGATGGAAAATGATGGAATTAGGAAAGAAACATGATGATGATGAAAAATATAATGTAAGAATTAAAAAAAAAAGAGAGAATAAAATACATACATTGAAAAATAAAGAAATATATTAATAAAAAAACTGTCTACATATGAACAGCTCAACACCCTTTCACACTCCAATAAAATGACCTGCTCTTGTCTTTCCTTTCAATGGCCTTTTTCGGCTCTCTCTATCGCCTCCCATAGATGTAGAGATTATTCCTTTCTTCTTCTTCTTCTCTTTCTTTCTCAACAATCTCTCCTCCTTCTTCCTTAATACTCTTCTATTCTCCTATATAGTCTCACTTTGAAAGAGCAAAAAAAATAAAACCGTATAGCAAGGAAGAAAAAAAAATAAAAGAAAAAATATGGTGATGAAGTTACCTTATCTGAGCTCTTCTTTGTTCTTGGTTTTGACTTTGCTTTCTGTTGTTGTTTCTGGGTCTGAAAAGAGGCTTCCAATTCTGTCATTTGATGAAGGGTATTCTCAGTTGTTTGGAGATGATAATCTAGTTATCCATAGAGATGGTAAAGCTGTTCACTTGTCTTTGAACGAGAGAACAGGTTTGTTTTCGTTTTACTGGTTTTTTGGGTGTTTTCTTTTTGGGTTTTCTTTCTTTTATTGTTTTAGTAAAAGGAAAGAATTTTTTTGCTTTGGTGGTGGTGTGAAAAACAGGGTCTGGATTTGTGTCACAAGACCTTTACTTGCATGGTTACTTCAGTGCATCAATAAAGTTACCTGCTGATTATACTGCTGGAGTTGTGGTTGCATTCTATGTGAGTTTCTTTGTTCTAGCTTCTGCTTCAAGATTAATATTTTTTTATTTTATTTATCTAACTATTAATTTTATTTGAGGCTTAACAAATAGTTTTCTTAGAGGCTTAATTCATGGTTGCTGTTAACAAATAGTTTCTTTAAAAAACTATTTCTTTGTTTTTATTTTTAGTATGATACTAATCCATTGCTTTTAGCTTAAAATTCTGATCAAACTATTAGAACTCAGATGAGTTTGCCACTGTTTTCTTCACTTCAAATTCATGGTTCAAGTTGGAGTTTGATAGTGTCTCGAAGACTGCATTTCGAGTTTTATCTCTTTTGTTCAGGAACCTGATCAAAATCCTGATGGATATGACGATGAAGTTGACACAGTTTTCTCATTATTTTTGCTGTCAAAAGCTTTATAAAAAAAATTACAGGTTGATTAAAATAATTTCAGATAGTTTTTCCTCTAATTTCAATTTCTAGCTCATTTTCAAACATTATTTTCTTATAAAGGTTTTTATTTTTAAGGATATAACTCCTGAAAATAAATAAAAAGAATCGCCTGTTTTAAAGATTTTGTTTTTGGGATAACAGATGTCAAATGGTGATATATTTGAGAAGAACCATGATGAAATAGATTTTGAGTTCTTGGGTAACATTAGAGGCAAAGATTGGAGGATTCAGACCAATGTTTATGGCAATGGAAGCACCAGTGTTGGCAGAGAAGAAAGATACAATCTTTGGTTTGATCCTGCTGATGATTTCCATCAGTACACGATTCTCTGGACCGATTCTAATATCATGTAAGCATCAAAATCTATTCCCCATCTCTCCTATAATTTGTTGCCCCCTCGCTTTCCTTTTTCCTCTATTGGTTAAATATTTAAGTTTTCTTCTCTGCTTCAATCTCAACATTTTTAACTGATGAATTTCATATGATTAAGTATGGAACTTGCTTTTTTGCAGAGTGTGATGTGGTGGTTTATTTGTAATGTAGGGTGGGGTTTCTTAGTTTGGGAGGTCTGTATATTGTACAGTGTGTGCTCTGGTTTTGCTTATAATGGTATCCCCTGTTTCAACCAACCAATTTTTCTTCTATTACCATAACTAAATTGTTCTATCTCGGTCTGCTTGCTTGGAAAGCGGTGACACTGTAGGAGATTAGGCTAGATTGCAGTTCAGGATTCTATTAACTGATAATCCATATTTTAACATCAACATCTATGGCGATGTTTATAATTTGGTGGTGTAGAGCTGGTGGTTGTCCTGTTCTTGTTTTTGTTTTACTGATTATGTTTCTTATACTTGTTATTTTCTTTGTAGATTCTATGTAGACAATATCCCCATCAGGGAGGTTAAGAGAACAGCTGCTATGGGTGGAGACTTCCCTTCTAAGCCAATGTCTTTGTATGCTACAATATGGGATGGGTCTGATTGGGCTACTAATGGTGGCAAATATAGAGTCAATTACAAATATGCTCCTTATGTTGCCAAATTCTCTGACCTGATCCTTCATGGCTGCACGGTTGATCCGATTGAATTTTCATCAAAGAGGTGTGATAGCACCCAAAGTTTGGAAGAGCTCTCTACTACTATCACACCATCACAAAGAAGCAAGATGGATAGCTTTAGGAGGAAGCACATGACATACTCCTATTGCTATGACCAAACCAGATACAAGGTTCCTCCTTCTGAGTGTGTGCTCAATTCCCAGGAAGCAGAAAGGCTTAAAAAGTTTGATCCGGTTACGTTTGGAGGAGGCAGGCGCCACCACGGGAAACGACACCACCGCAGCCGAGCAAGCCGGTCTCAGACTGATTCCATCTAAATAAAGAGACCTTACCTAGAATTGTTTTGTGGTTACATGTGGGCATTATTTTCCTCTCCTTTCCATTCAGTTTGATTAGTTGGTGGTCAGTTTTGTGCATAGAGAGGGGGAGAGAGCATAGATATTTATTGAGGGTGATAGAGATCTTATATGTTTCATGATGTGGGTATGTGTATAGGTCATACCTTGTAGGTTCCCAGTTCATTTTTATCATTGATGTTGTCTTTCTGGTTTTTACAGATTGAAATTTGGTGATGATTTTCTGTACTTTCTACACACCCTCATGGGTTCAATAAATATTTTATTGTATATGGACTTTATACTTTTATTTAGTTGTGCGTCCCATTTATTCTCTTTTTTTAACTGCACTTTTTTTAATTTAACAAATATATAAACCTCATCCAAGCATTTTCTTTCTTATTTTTTTGTTTTTATTAATTTTATTTTATCTCTTTGGTGGTTCAAAGAAACATCTGTAACACCCAAAATTGTTGTATTTAATGTCCAAAGTTTGGGGCTATCTGTATGTTTGTTTGTATGTATATATATATATTTAAAGTCAGACTTGTCATGTTCAGAGCACATTTTGTCAATGGGTAGTTGGAATCCAAGGTCAGTTAGACGTGACAAGTGGGGGAGGGTAACTCTTGCACGTTGGACCTTCTGTTTTAGGGTGAAAATGTGATTCTGGGGCTGAAATCATGCAATGGATCATCATCATCATCATGGTTTCAAACTTTGAGGCTTTGAAGATGAAAAAGGCAGTTGAGGGTCTTAGTCTCATAGTCACAGGGCCAGCAATTTAGGGTTGTTGGGAGTTTATTTAATGTTTTGATTTTCATATTTTCACTCAATAGTCATAGGGAAAAACAAATTATTTCTCTCTTTACAATCAGGGCTAGGTAAAGATAAATAAAAACAGAACTTTTCACCATAAATAGCCTGCCTCTTTGTTCATTTGAAAATTGTAGCCTCAAGGATTGTGTGATGCAAGTAAAGTGGGGAGACGGCTAGGAGCCTGAGATACAAGAATTGTTTCTTGTGAGTGAGGGAATTGTAGTGTGAAGCAACTAGCACGTTTACAGGCTCCATTGTTAGGCAGGCTTCAAGCTTCATCATCACTTTTACAACTGGACAGTATTTGCTTGGTCAAAGTGTCATTTAAAGGTTTTCTTTCAACTTAAATTTTTGTAGACAAAATGCTAATTAATGCATTCAGGGTTATCACTTTTAACAAGATGACAATTAAGCATTATAGAAAAAGAGTTTAGTGTAAGTAAGAAGATTGGTTAAGGCAAAGACAAAGTGTGATGGGTTTAGTGGAATCTTTTGTCTAATCCCAGACTTTGTAACATTCAATTATAAGACAACACATAAGCTGTTTTGTCTATTTGAGATTGGCTACTTTGTTGGAAATTAAAAGATAAAAGAGAAAAAAAAAAGGGTTCATAATCAAAGTGACACAACATTGATGCTAAGAAATTCTCCAGAAAGTAAGCCAGGCTGCTTTTCTAGCAAACTCTATCATTTTTTTCTTTTTATTGTTTTGTCTTTTGGCAAATGTCAATAGAATCTATGGTTTGGTCTTGGTAGCCTGTGAAATTCCACACTTGCCTTGGTAGAAATCATTATTTAAAGTAACTTTTAACATATTATTATGATTAATTAATTTAAACTTTCTTATTATATGTATAAAAATATTATTATTTTATAAATTAACAGTAATTTTTTTAAATTCTATAAATAAATTTATTTGATATTCATATTAATCTATTGACTCTGAAATTTATCCAAATTTAAAAAAGATTATGTTAATTATAAAATTCTTTCTATGGTAGACATTTTTAACATTTTCCTAATTTTTTTTTTCTATTTAAAGCTTTGGTAGTACAAGGAACTTTAGATTTTATGTTTTGGCTCTTCAATTCAATGAAAGGATGCTTTGGGTAGTCTTCCACTAAAAAGGAAATGATAATGTGAAGGATGAGAAGGGGTCGACATTGGAGATCATCACTACCCCTTCAGTTTAATTTTCTTAGTTTTGCAATTCCAGTTCAAAATTGGCTGTCAAATGATGTGGAATAGAGGAGCAACTTGATTCAGAACTTTTCTAAGTGAGAAATATATAGAAATGATTCTAATGTTTTAGACCACATAATTCATAGTTATCCATGAGCACTCACATAAATCATGTGCAAACCCAATGGAAAGCTACATCTCACAAATCTTTTACAGCTCTTTGATTGATACAGATGCATAATTTCTGTTACCTGACTGCTACCCTTTTCTGCATTTGATCACAGCTCAGCCCCAATGAAAGAAAAGAGTTTAAATTGTTATTAGTTTTAGTTGATTTTTTTCATGTATATATACTATATCCAAAGATTAGCTTTTAGAGAGACCCAAGTGCAATATAATTTTAATACCTGCTATTCAAAAACTTTCTTTGAAGGTGAAGGCTAAATTTGGTCTTATCCAGAGGTGTCATATGAAATAGATAATGAACCCCTGCCTCTCACTAATCCTTGTAAACTACATGTTTGCAAGAAATAACATAGTAATGAGTCTTGCACAAAATCATGTCTTCATCTATAATTATATGATCATTAAGACAATGCCATGGTGGCCGATGTACAAGATTTTTCTTTCTTTTTTTCCTTTTTGGTGTGGTGAAACAGACAGTTAATAAGAAACATAAAGGAAATTCCAATAAAATAAATATCCCTAAGATGCTTTCCACCTAGAAGAGGTAGATGCCTTCAGAAAAGTTTTAGCCAGAAGAAAAGGAACAACAAGGAAAGGATATGAGGCTATCCATCAGCTATTATATTGCCTACGCTGATATGTGACATCTACGACTGATGTACATCCATGCAGAAGAAGACCTCTAATTCTGGGATTCAGCTGCCTCCTTTTTCTCCATCAGTTTGATGAAATTGCGAACAATAGTCTTGCCTTCAGATGTTATGATGCTCTCTGGATGGAACTGAACGCCCTACAGTTTTCAATCAATTTGGTCATGAAAGTAAAGTTAATTTGGTGAGCCTAAACTTGAAACAAAAGTAAAAGGAGAAGAACTATATCTAACCAACATAGCTCAAAAAATGGGTTAAATAAATGATTCTGAAGACAAGGTAAGTGTCAAATAAGCATAACAATCATGGAAGTCAAAAGGCATTCTAAAGCCTCTGCATATGGTGTTTTTGGGGTCCTTTCTTTTCCTCTACTTTCTTCTGTAATAATTGCAGAGAAAAAAATGACAAAAAGCACTTATTAACACACACACAGACACCCATCATCTAAAACAACAATCTTTAGGAGCTCCTTAGAATTTGTTCTGATGGCAGCTTTAGAATCTTTTCTCTAACAAACTGGTAAGCATGGAATCAGATTATAGTAGGTGTGCAAAATTCAGCAAGTCATAGGAGCTATCTACAAGCATTACTGTCATTTAATGCTGAATTGACTGCAAAACTTTCATGGTTTTAAAATGCAATAAAAGTGACACAAGGAGAGCACAAACAACCAGCATTGCCCTTTTGTGATGCTTATAAAGGTATCCTATCCAAGGAGCCAATTGGAGTGCATGTGTTTTGACCCCAGCAAAAAGAATCAAATTGACACCTAAAGGTAATTTGGAAATACCATACGATACAACATCTTAGAAGAAGTGTAACTAATTTAAGTAATGAAATCAGGTCAAGCACAGCAAACATACTCCCACCAGCAAATCTTAGAAGAAGTGTAACTAATTTAAGTAAAGAAATCAGTTCCAGCACAGCAAACATACTCCCACCAGCAAATCAGTTAGTAACTAATTTGATGGTAGTCTATCTTCTCATTCAACAAATCATTGTAGTCATTAAGATGTTACAAGTAAAAGAGATGGCAATCTTACCTGTAGATGCTTATATATTTTGTGCCGAGCAGCCATTATCAGTCCATCTTCTGTCCATGCGGTAACCTCAAGCTCTTCCCCAGGAAAACTTTCCTTTTCAATCACGAGGCTGTGATATCGGCCAGCGTTGAAAGGGCTGAAATAGGCACAATGATAGTAAGAACTACTGATAACATGAGACGTAATGAATGAAAATAAATTGGAAATTCTTTAACTTAATACGTAACTTAATTGATGCTTCACAAATGTCTAGCAATATAAACACAAGAATAGCAGCATAAAAGGAAAATGAGGTTTTGATTTGACCAAGTGTGTGCAACAGTGATGCATTACTCCACAAGGGTGGTGGGAGGTGCAGAGAGAGAGATTGGTATTATTTTCCCAATATCAGCATTGCATATTGCTTAACAGCCACAATATACACAGACATTATTTGGAATTTATGCAACCAGCCTTCTTTGTCCTCAGCTTTAATTGACCCCCAACCTCAACAACCGGTCTCACAGCTACACCTAGGCCTCAAAGCGACACAATGATTTTTGTAACACAAACATAATTTTAGTAATCAATTAATGCTCTTCTCTTCTTCACCATTCTCACATTCCTTTTGCTAATATATATTTTAATAAAATAAGCCTTTTTTTATACTACTCTAATTATTGCATTAGCCACAACAAATGTAAAAAATTATTAGCTAGCTATTTATTTAACTATGTGATTGTGTAACATACTTTGTATTGCATGAACATCACAGCTAACATGCTATATAGAGTTCTATGGACTTTCAGACCCTTAAACAGCAATATACTAATACCAGAGATTTATTACATTAATAAAAAAGGGTTAGTAGGTGTAAAATGCTTTGTCAAAAACTCAAGAACGTTTTCCTGTCAAGAGGCATCAGAAGAAATAGTGGAATTTGAAATTTTAAAGTTAAAACCAGAATATTATCCAGGGCTTTTACTTGTCCAGACTATCCTTCATATCAAACTCTTCAGTATAATACTGCCCTTCCTCCTCTTTTCTCTTCCTTTCCCTTTGAGATAAGACTTTTGACACATCAACCCAACAATTGAGAGTAAAATGTGATTGTAATTAGAGCTCAAGTGGCTGTGGGATGAAAATGAAAGGAGATAGGGTAAATGGAAGAAAGTTTGACTGCATCTAATTTAAAGGTACAGTCGAAATGAGTTTGATAGGAAAAGGGTGCTGCTAAGGATCTCTATATTTGAAAGGAAAAAAGAAAGCTCAAGAAACAATCTCTATAAAAACAAATTTGAATGAATTGGTAATTGGAATACAGAAAGCAAGTAATTTAAGCACACTTTAAGAATTTTAAAAGGAGAATCATGTCAAACTAATTGGACTACACAAGCAAGAATTTAAGCACACTTTACATACTTTGGCAATCCAGTGAACAACCCATCTTCCCCCTTCTCATCATAATAAACAAGAGAACTTTTGCCATGCATAACACCATATGGAGAACGCACTATCTTTCCTGCATTTCGCAATGAAGTCAAATAGATTGTATTAAAATCCCACAAGCAACCAGCTCAGCTTCCATGATATAAGGACACAAGTATAAATTGTTCTCCCATCTACCTCTCTTTGAATAAATGTTGAGATAATCTAGAAAATGATGAAATTAATATGAATAACAGTTACTTAAGGTATCCTAGAAAACTAACCTCCAAAAGCCTCGCCAATGCACTGCAAACCCATGCAAACACCAAACAAAGGTACAGTAGGTCCAAGCTCCAAAACTGTTTGCAAAGATATTCCAGAATCTTGGGGTATGCCTATACAAAGGATACAAAGTGTATAAAATGCTTAAACATGATAAATTCCTATGCCTCATTTATGTATAGTTTATAAGAAATAGCAAACTCTAACCTGGACCAGGGGAGATAAGCACTCCCCTAGGGTTTTTCCTACAAAAATAACAAGAAATGTTGTCATTTATCGCATCAAATACTTATAGATAATATGCTAACACATAATCATTAATTGCCCGGGTGACCATCATGTTACAGAAGTGGATTGATAACGGATATTGCAATAGGCAAAAGGTAATTCTTACCTTTTCAGCTCTGCTACAGCTAACTCATCATTTCGATAAACCTCAAAGTAACATCCAAGCTCTCCCATATACTACAAAATTAAAGGCAAATTCTGAGGATATTCTTTTCTTAGTCAAGAATACAACTTCGTAAAGACTAGAAGATCAATAAAACAAAAAAGTTCAGAATGTAGAAGAAGAATACGACATTTCAAGTGCCAAAATTCTTAGGTAAACTCTTATCACTCCTTTCATAAGGCAACAATAAAAAATATACCATATCTGCTTAAAAGGAGAAAGATGAGCCAGGTAGGGATGATTCCCTATACTGGATGCCAAATGTCACTCGGTTTCAGTGCTAATTCTTGTCAGAAAAAAAAAATCACTTTTGATTGCTATGCTGCTAATGTCTCACCAATTAATCAGTGGTGCCGCAAATATAAAAAATTGTTGCATGCTATTGACTTTCATCAATCAAGACCATCAAACTGGGTGACCTCCATTATCAATGATACCAAATTGGACTCACCAGTTACCACACCATAGGGATATTCAGCAGAAACACTATTGACATATCAGATTCTTGATCATAACATGTTTCTTACCAATAACCTCGAACCAAATATGCTTTCATTTTACAATCGCAGCCATAATAAAGTCACAACAGTTTTATTAAGTAAAATCATTATGATGAAGCACCTCCATCGAATGCAAATCCTTCCCTCGTCAGAGAACAAACTAGAATTATACCACAAAACAATAAACTCACACTATATACATACATATATACATACATACAAACATACATACATATGTATCTTCTCTGATTTGTTATAAAAGGAAAAAAATCTACACAGTACAATTTGTTCTACTATACTGGTTTTAATTGGGTTTCTTAATTTTAATTAATATTTCAAGTCTTCCCTAACAATCAAAATATATTCTCTCACATAAATTTATAATAAATTGCACATAAACCTGCCAACAAGTAATTCTGTTCTCTATTGTTTATATAGAGATTTATAAACAATCAAACAGCATTCCACAATCAAGACCTCAAGCAGAACATAATCCAGAGAAGGCAAAAGATTGGACAAAGAAAAAGGCACAAAATTTTGAACATGCAATCAATACCTGGCAAAGATTGTAAGTGAAACTATCGTAATTGTCAATGACGATAATAGGATTCCTTTTGTTTTTCTTATTCTCCAAAAGTGAAGCGCTTGAGTCCGATACAGCCGATGACAATGACGCTTTTCCAACAATCCCAGTTCTCTTTTTGGCCACAAATCCAATCCCTGCAAAACAAAACAATAAAAAAATGAACCTTCTTTTCATGCTCTGTACAGAAAAAAGGCAAAAAAATCTCAAAGAAGGATGGAGAGAAAAGAACGACTTGATGGAGGAGAGAGCCTGGATAGGCGAGACAGAGATGGGTTTTGAAGGGTTTTAGCAGATAGTGAAGGTTTTGGTTGAACCAGAGATGAACGCATTATAACAGTAGCATCCATTTTCTTCTGAAGAGAAAAACAAAGCAGAGAAGGCGTTTTCAGGCTTCACGATTCTGAAAGGTTGCTCAGTTTCAGAGAAGATTCCACTCTGAAAGTTTTCTGGTTCCCTTCAACGTCACAGTACGATGCTCTTTATAGAGGAGTCATCACTCAAGTCTTAAAATGGTATTGTTTGAAAAAGGGCATGGGCAGCATTGCAAGTGACAATTTTTGGAGTCAAAAGTATTTAAATAGCCTTTGTATCTATGCATTTTATTAATTTAATACTCGTATTTAAAACCGAAATAATTTAATTTTTTAAATTTAAAAATTAGATGTTATAAATTTGATGATGCAGTAGTACCACATCAACTCATATCATAATGTAAAATTAGATGTGGTTTAGCTGAGAAATTAAATTGTTTAAATTCTCAAATTTAAAAAATTAATTTTTTTTATTTTAAATATGAAAATTAAATTAATAAAAATGCATAAATGTAGAAACTATTTGAATACTTTAACCTTTTTTTGGGTAAAAATGATTCTCCTTAGTGATTCGATCCCTATTAAGAAATATGAATGAGAATTCAATGGAGCTTTGGTGAAGAATTGGTACTGATTTGGGAATTGTGAGAGAATGGCGTTTTGTTCCCATTCATTGGCTTGTTAAAAGTTATGATGAAATTTACATATGATTTATTCAAAGTTATGAAATTTGGTTTGGTGAAATTTATGTTAAAATTTTAGGTAACTTTTACGAAATCAAGTTCGGGGATCAAAACTCCTTGATTATGGTACTAATACTTGTTATAATATTTTAAACTTCGATTAATAGTCATCTATCTTTATTGGCTATGGAAATTTGTTAAAAATTAAATTATTATTTTAAAAATATTTTGTCTTAATCTTTAATATGCATATGTTTACATTTTTTTATAACTTTAATTATACAAAGTAATTTATATATATATAATGAGTCATTTAATTGACATATTTACACTCTTTTGTTCTATATCAAAAGTTCAAAGAAAAATATTTTGACTCAAGTGTTTTTAATTTTTTTTATAAATAATATGATAATAAATTACAATTTTCAAAAAATAAGGTAATATATTAAAAAATGGGTGAATCAGATCTTCCTTAGCTCTTTCAATTCCTATGAGGAAATCCGAATGAGATTTAATTGGGGGTTTGGTGGAGAATTGTTACTGATTTTGGATTTGTGGAGCTTCCAATTTTAGAGTTTTGGTTCCATGCATTTGGTATAGTGTTTATCATGAAACTTAGGTATGATTTAGTGACAACTATAAAATTTGGTTTGGTGAAACTTATGTCAAGATTTTACTTAATTTTTATCAAATCAAAATTGTGGATCAAAACACACTCTTTATACAACTAATATGTGTTATAATATCTTAAAATCCGATTAATGGTTATCCATTAATTACTCTCTAATTATGGTCGTAATTCTTGTTATAACATCTATGATGGTTATCTATTGTTATTGGTTACGAAAATATGTTAAAAATGGGTGATATGGTTACCTTTTAAAGTTAGTGAAATTACTATTTTAAGAAACATTTTGTCTTAATTAATGTCAATTTGCCCGAACACGCACGCACACACACATATATAATAATTAAAGTGTAATGCATTTTGTGAATAATATATTTTATACTCCTTTCATTCTATATTAAAAGTTTAAAGAAAAATTTTTTGACTTCAATGTTTTGAATATTTTAAAAAAATATAAATTAATAAATTGTATTTTTTAAAATATAAAGTAAAATATTAAAAATTAGGATAAATTCCACCTTTAGTTGTTGTAATTTCAATTTTCCCCACATGACACTCTTTGATTTCTTAACCATAATGAGGGATTAGGTAAATTACTGTATTTGTACTTAACCATAATGACAGATTAGGCTCCTCTCTAATATTTTATATTTATTATTTTGTAACACATTTATCATCATCATTCATATTTATGAAAATCATTCATAAGCAATAGTCAAAAGCACTCTCACTCTTATAAACTGAAAGTCCAATCAATTTATTGAAAACTCAAGAATGTCTCTCAGAAATTTAAAAATGGCAGACCCACAATATCGTGCTCGGAGGAAATATGTATGTTAGAATTATTATAATTAGATTTCATAACCCTAAAATTCAAAAAGATAAAACCAAATCAAAAGAAGATATTTAATTTGATATTATTATATATGATTTAAGGTTTCAATTTAAAAAATTAAAATCATTAATAAACATATTACGTACACGCAATCTTATTTGAATCCGTTTTTGACATTTTTATTGTTAATGTTTTTTAATGTACTTATTTGATTTTATTCAACTCACTATGCATACTAATTAGTTGAGCCCTTTTTCATGCTATGTTGTTGTTTTCTTGATTATTTGATTGAACATAATGACTCTCTAGGTTTTAAAATAAATGACATATTTATTAGGGCTCCATGTCTAAATGATTGCAAATCATGTTTTTCCTTTTTTATGTCAATTTTTTTAAGTTTATTGTTTTGTATAATTTATTAATTTATTATTGGTATATTTTCAAAATGAAAGGTTATATCACATAATGTGATTATCGAATTGTTGGTAATTTTTCTCAAAGGTTATATCTCTTGATAAAGTGACATTTAGAAAAATACTTCTAAATCTTGAAAAACACCATTACTCAAAAGTTATTATATAAAAAGTTATCTTTTCATGTTGTGATTCAAATTGATGTCTAATGGTATGAAAAGTTATTTTTTCAAAAGGTAACTATTGAAAAATTACCTCTATCTAAAGGTTATATCTTATAATATGTAAAAGAGTGTTTCAGACAAAAATGTGCTTTCATGAAAGGGTTCTATCCTTAAAGAAGAGATATTTGCAAGTGTATATAAGTAGTGTGTCTGATGATCTAATTTTGGAAGTGCAAAACGAATTTTGGTGTTACTTCATTGTATCTAGGCTTAAAATTTTAGCCAAGTTTCATGCGGTGCTATTGTCTCGTTTTCGTAAGACTGAGCAAGCTTAAATAATGTTTATTGACGATCGGCGCATAAACGTAAAATGAATAAATATGAAAAAAGAGATTCGAGAGAATAAATAAGTATTATTGCTCCAATGAGAGAAAAACAAAATACTTAAGATCTAAGTAAAAAGTAAATTACTTGATTCGACAAACTTGATTTGATTACCTTATAATGACTCCTAAGTGTGCTATTTATAATAACTTACTTGACCTAAACTTGGTGTGTAAGTAAAAGTAAATATGGAAGTATCTAACCTAGACTTCTTTAGAGTACAAGAAAAGTAAAGTCTTAAAACTATACCTCCTTGATGAGCAAGTAATCAACAATGAAGACTTTATTTTTAGAAAGTATTTTAGTTGCCTTAGAATACTTTGTTTGGCTACCAAGGCAACACCTGATGGCACATAGATTGGCTCGGCAATCCATATGGGCTGGACTAGTCACAGATCTGTGGATCGTGATAGTATCTCTAAGGTTCGCGTAATTTTTTTTTTTTGCATACGAGTGGTGAGAGCAAAAAGAAGTATTAAAGATAGTTATTTAATATAGTTAATTTTGCTAGTTCCCTTTGAATTCCAAAAACCCATTTGCACCAATATTTATTTTATCTAATTTTATCCTAAAAATTTTACTGCATGATCTTTGGTTTACTCTTTTGTTACTTCATTCACAATGATCTTATGATCCTTCAGTTTATCGTAAATTATCTTTCAATCTTTTTTAAGACAAGCATGGCAAATATAATTGAACAATAAACAAATAGAATTTATCTTTGATAAATTTTTTTTTAAGTAGGAAGAACAACTAAGTTGAATTACGAATCACCTCAATTGGTCATTAAATTGTTTAAGACAAAGCTATAAAAATCATTTATCAATGTGTTATGATACATAAGGAATTAAAACTTGACACTCTTCTTAACCGTAGTGCAAATCACAAATAAAAATATGAAAGAACAACTAGATTGGAAACAAGCAAAAAAGAGCTTGTTTGTTATGACAGTTATCTGCCTAATCCACCATGCTTCAAAAGCTTCAACCAAGCACATATAATGATCAAAGAAGTTGAAATAGGGAAAATAAAGTTTAGTAACAAGTCACATTAGTCCTAGTATCCTATCATGCTTTAACACTTCTTGGCTAAGCAGGACACAAGTATGTGAGTTGAAGGTGCTTGCTTTGCCTGAGCAAATTGCACTGCTGATTGGTTCTGTTCATCTTTGGCTCTTAGGAGTGAAGTATGGTATGGCTTATTTGAGTTTGGTACACATGACATTGATTAGTCTTCTAGTTAAGTTCAGAAAGAGTTGACTAATAGTAAAAAAAAAAAATTTCTCAAACTATGCAATTATCAAAAGAACAAGTTCTTATCAGTTACTTGAATAGGAATGCAATAACTACCTGCAAAAGCTTTGAAGCTTTATCACCTCGAATTTCTCTGGATAAATTGATGCATAAATCATCAGCAAAGGCAATTTATTTTCCAGAAATGCATATTGCTCTAATTTTTAATTGTTTAAATTATATGAAAACCCTTTAAATTGTAATACAAATTTAATTTATCAAAATAATAATTAATTTGCAACTAAAACCAAGGTTATACTCTCACATAGAGCATTCTAAAAGTCAATTGAAACTAACTTAACTTGACTTAGCTGATAAAAATCGCTTAATCTAGTTCATTAAGATGGTTAAAATGGTTATTTTAGTTAAAATCCTTGATTAGATGAATTAAGTCAAGCCGATTCGATTGAAAAAATTTGAAGTCAATTAACAGAACTAGCCAATTTTATTTTTTCAATTTCTAGGGCATGTAAGGGGTTTTCTTGCATATAAAAATATGGGGCATTTTTAAAAATAACCCATAAAGATAAGATATTTTAAAAAATAACATTTTTTATAATTTTAACTATTTTTAGTCAAGTTGAACAAAATTACTCTTAATAAAATTATACGTCATGATGTTACATGCTATTTATAAAAATATGTTACACGTTATGATTAAGTTGTTACACGCCATGTACAAAAATATATTACGCGTTATGGTTAGGTTGTTACACACCATGTTGAAAAAAAATACTATTGTTACATGCCATGTATAAAAACATGTTACACGCCATGGTTAGATTGTTACACTTCATGTACAAAAACATGTTACACGCCATGTTG